GGGGCGGGGGCTCGGCCCTTTGTGCTGTCACCCGGGAGGAGGCCGGGCTCTTTGTGCGCAGAGAACGAGGGAGGCTTTCCAGGCGGAGCCGGGAGGCTGAGGGTGCCCCTTGGCGGTCGCTGAAGAAATTGCAGCTCTCTGTCACGCCAGGGAAAGTGCCACGAAGTTCTTTAACATCCGTGACCACCCCCCAAACATATGTGTGTGTGTTTGAGAATATATACGTATATTCTCAGTAATATTTTCACCGAGCAACGTTCTCATATATTCTCAGTAATTATTTCACCGAGCCACATCTGCGTAGATGCCTTCCAATTGCTTCTGATGCGATGGTGGAAAACAACCGATGTCCTCTTAGCCATCCCGTGTGAGAAAGAGACCTGTGCACTGGTTCGCCAACGTGGCAGAGCTCCAGGACGCAGAGCTAGAGTTACACACGCACGCGCACGCACACGCACGCGCCTTCGATTCAAAACTCACTACCATGGAGTTGATTCCTACTCATAGACTTGGCTGTGAATTCCGGAGGCTGTAACTCTTTATAGGAGTAGGAAGCCCCGTCTTTCCACCGCACAGCAGCTGGTGGTTTTGAACTGCAGATCTCGTGGTTAGCAGCCCACTCGTAACCGCTGTGCCACTAGGGCTCCGCAAACTAGTTTATGGCAACCATGGACCTGTTAGCTAGACAGACCTGGGCTCAGAGGAAGACGACGATGGTGAAAGGAATCCTACAGCACAAGAGAGGTAGAGGCATATGGTAGACAGGATACACTTATCAGTGGGAGACACCAGAGATCATCAAAAGCCCGTTGGGGAGAGGGGAAGGAGGGTTGGGACCCAGAAACAGAATGTTCATCATGCCCTGAATTGACTGGATTGAACCTTAGTTTGGGGGCTTGGCAGTAAAGACAGCACGAAGTATGAGAGACAGAGGGGCAGTATCTGCAAAGGGGAGAAAGTCAGCCAATGGCAGGAGGTCTTCTCTTAACAGAATAAAAAACTAGCTTCTCATTCTACTAGGCCTGTGGATTAGCTGGAGGAGGGGGGGGGGGTGGCTCTGATTTGACATAGCAAAGTACTTCTCTCAATAAATTCACTGGCTACTTTCAAACCTTTCTCTGACCTTGGTCTGAATGTTGTCTCACACCTGAATTCTTTCTTGCAAGGAGTACAAAATCTGAGAGAGAGGAGGCATGAAACCTGGAGTCTCCTCATGCTTACAGAGGTAAAGAGAGGGAAAGATTGCTCAGTCTGTCCTGCTTCATTCCCACAGTATCTTTGTAGCTCTTGTGCCAATTCATCTCACCTCTCAAGCCCTCTGCTTCTCCAAGCTTGATGCCCTCCTCCAGCGATTGATTGATAGAACCAAATTCTGTTGTGATCCCACTGGTTTTCATTGACTGGTTTTCCAAAGTAGGTCAGCAAGCTTTTCTTTTTAGTCTTAGTATAGAAGCTCCATTGAAACTTGTCCATGGGTGAATCAGTTACTATTTGAAATACCAGTGGCATAATCTCCAGCATCATAGTTTCCGGCATCAAACAAACAAAGAATGGGTGGAGAATAGATAGAGATGTTTGAGTCTCACCTCCAGAGATTCTGATTTAATTGGAAAGGGATGTGGCCTGGGTGAGTTAGTTAGTTTATTGTGCCAACCTGGCCGATAAACACATGTGGGATTAATTGAAGGGCGGAGGGATAAAGGCTCAGTGAAGCCTCCCCATTTGAGTTCTCGGGTCTCTTGATTTGTGATGGTC